TTTTACTGCAATTTAAAAACAGTGTCTTAATTAAGTTCCGTGTGTATTGCAACCACTATGTAGGATGCATCTTATAAACTTATAGGTTTTCTACTTGACGCGAATGACAAATTAGCAACAAAATTTAAATGCTTTATGGGGAAGTGGTCATTTCAAAACAGTAGTTATTCCAATGTAAAGATAAACTTTTGAATTGTCAAAGGGAATTAAAAGACGATGCGCATTCTTCACGCTTTCTTGCGAATTATTTGCAAATTTCCTTGACCATATTTTCGCCAGATTTTCCAACTGAGATCGACCAATCTCATTTGTGCAAGTTTACAATGTGGTCATTCAACTCTTGAAAAAATGATTTTTAATGGTTAAACGTTGGTGAGGATGATAAAGTATTATTTCATGAATGCAGCACTTTATATTGTATTAGTTTTTTAAATTTGTATGCCTTTATTTGTGTTAAATTTTAAGGTTATTGAGAAATAAATTTGCCAACTTGGACAATTTTGGCATATAGAAGTGAAATATGCCCTACAAATTATCGATCCAATGAGTCTAGTTATTGCTGTCTTAACATGAAATTCCTTTCAGATTTGGTAAAGTTCTTTGATCACAGTCAGTTAATCCTTTAGCTCGAGTAACAGAGGAAAGGAATTTAATTTTGATACCGACAACTTCTTTACTACGAATGGAGCCAAGAATAATTTACAATTTTCCAGTTGTCACCACACGTAAACATGATTTTAAACAATAATGAAGAAATAAATATATACCATTGGGCGACAGGTAACTTAGATACCAGAAATTGAAAGCAATCTTCGGAAGATTTGTTTCTATTCAAAGGTGCCCCAGATCTTAGAAAAAGTTGTGAATTTCAAAAAATCGAATGAAGATTCTAAAAATAACTTCTATTGATTTGTCTAATATTAAAATATTGAAATTAGATATTTAATTATACTTATTATAGGGCGTTATAAATTGAAATATTTTTGTTTAAAATGGCAAAACAATTGTGCTTAATTTGGTTACCTCCTCTGCACTTTCTGCGTGATGCTTTAGGCATTATTTGTGGTGCATTAATATAGGTATTAAAATCATTTTTTCTTCGTAGGTTAATTTTTAATTTTATAGTTTCTAAACTTTTGCTGTGCTCGGTTGCTTGTGATAATTTTTTTAAATTTATTTAATGATTATATTAGCGGATAATGCACGGAGATAAATCAAATCAGAATTACCACCAAATACGACCCCCAACAACAGTGGCTTCCGAGGCTTCAATGCATCGACAGAAACTAGCCTCTTTGCGTTCAAACTTTTTAGTTCATGCTTCAAATCCACCCAAAGATGTACCATACATTGGCAGTTCCACTTCATCGACATCCAATATTCATTCTTTTCCTAGTGAAGAGCTTCCCTCTCGTCTTCTCGTACCCATTACTGCGAATGAGAGCTCTAATAACGGATTCCTTACTTTTCCTTACCGTTTTACTAATTCATCCATTCAGCCTGGCTCTTACTCTCCCTCTCTTCCTACTCTTAATCCACCTTCTGTGCCTAGACGCATTGCAAGACGAAGTGGTCGTGTTACATCGAATTCTTGTAATACTAGTTCCGCCTGTAATCAAGTTGGTGAATCGACGATTTCCCCTCCTATTCAACCCATAATCTCAGAACCCCAGAAGCCTTCATATAAATATACGTCACCTTACAATCATTCAAGCTATCCCACCATTGTGTATGAAACTCTAACTAGTGTTCGCGGACCGCAAGCTGAATATTCACAGCCTGTTTTTCCCAACTCTGCTACGTTTTATCATAAGAGTGTAGTTGAACCTCCTGCAATCATTACCTTGTCGCCTAGTGAGCCACTGTGTCTTTATGCGGGTAAACGGAACGAACTCTGTCGGTTGTGTCAAAAACAGGCTCTTTCTCGAAACTCATCTTCTCATCGATCCTCTTCTAGACATTCAGTAAGTTATTGATAATTGCTATTTTTCGAAATTTGCATACCGCTAAACAGTTATATTTTCAATCCTTTGAAAGTTACCGTTTTGAGTTTATTATTTAAATTTTCTTTTTAAACACCAAGGCCTTTTCGTCAATTTGTTCGTCGGTATTCCATATTTCTCTTTTTCGTACTTTTTCCTGCAACTTTTGCACCTACTTTTATTTTTTTAGTGTTTCGCAAATCTCTTGATGAGGTTTGATGTTTTCATACGCTTTATTATAATCGTTTGATTTTTCTTGCGCCTGAGCCATATTTTTTTGAAATGCTTTGTTGGTTATTTTGACCGCCTCTCTAATTGGTAATGGATATATTTGAGTATGGAAAGCTTGATAAAAATCGTGAACCTTAATTCATATTCAAGAATTTTCGTCTCCTTTAAACAGTCTGTTCTAGTCTAAAAATAATTACATTTTCGTGATTGATTTGAGGAATCTAAGAGTCATCATGCAATTATTAAGTTTGACTTCTTAAATTAAAGTGATTATCTTTATCTCAATTCATAATTTACATTTTACTTTGAGACTTATTTGTTGAATGAACGTTGAAATTCAAAGCCCATTCTTTCTGGATTAAATCGCGTTTTCACTTTTCGAAATGTCTTCTCACTACTTCACTCATTTTCAGTCTTGAATTGAAGGTCAATTTGCATGCATTTAATTTGTCCTTGTGGTTGGGTTTCTGAAGGTTCCTATTTTTGCATATTTTCTTTAATCTTGTCCAAGTGCATTTCCTTCCACCTTATCTAACGAAAAGTATCAAGGTGTCTATGTTGATGAATGAGAATTCAGAATATTTTGGCTATGGTAAAAAGGGCCATCTGCGCACATTGCTTTCTTTCAAAGTTTAACTTAGAGTGTTGTTCGGTGGGACGTTGCCAATTTTTTTCATTTTCTAAGCACCGTCTTCACTTACTTTCCTAGCGGGCGTACTAAACGGAGCAACTCTGTTTGGTAGAATTGGGAATCTAGTTATATTCCGTCCCCCTAACTATTAAATAAGATTGTGGTTATTGTCTTATTATATGTTGCTGAGTCGTTGATCTTCCTCGGGGGGGGGGGGGGGGGGGGGGGTAGCCTACTTTAGCCTTTTTATTTTGAATTTGGCATATTTTGTCAAGTCTACATTAGCTTTTGTTCTCTGTCACTGATACGATTAGCATTTGAGTGTGGCGCAAAAATGCTATTTATTTAATGCCATTGAAATTGTATTATCAATTGACCATCTGTTTCACTTCAGTTTTACCTCGTTTTTTGTAGCGTTTTTATTCAGTCCTGTATGGAGTTGAAAGAAAATGACGTAGTCACTCTTTTCAAGCGCTAGTTGATGCTTATAGCTTCTTAATTGGTGGTGTTTTCAACGCTCATTTCGAGTTATGAAGTACCATTTTGGTAACTAATAGATATCTTGTTTCTTGGTCAATTTTAATTAGTACTTTTGATGTTGTGGGGCTGGTAATGTGCTTATATTTCGTAGTTTGTGAACATTTATGTTAACATTCCACTACTAATTTAGCGCTGAGTTATTCAATACAATTAACAGCTTTTTGTCATCTACAGTAACACTTTGAATTTGCCCCGTTTTGTCTTGCCGCTTAAAATCTTCTGTGAAAGTCATCTTAACATTTATAATTAGAAATCTATTTAGTTTGTATAACTGTTCTTTCGAATATCCAAGGCACCCTTATCAACACTTGTTTGTTTAAGTGAAATGAACTGGTGGAATGAATGTTGGGATAGCACTGTTGGGCAATTTCTATGCCCCATCTTCATTTATTAATATTCATTGATTAGTTTCTAATTGCGTGAACTGCACATATATCGAATTAACTAAATTATGTTGTATCCAATTTTTTAGAATTCTTTTTTTTGTATTATAACGTTTTCTTTTTCTGCATTTTTGTATTTCACTTTATTTTCACTTCTATTATTTATTGAACGCTTTAAAATTACATCATAGTCAATTTAAGATTATCATTTTAACTCCGTAATAAAGAATATTCCATATCTATTCGGCCTTTTTACTTAAACCTTTTGTTTAATCTTAGCTCTGCTACGAGGACTCAAAATTTAAAGGGTGTCTATAGAATGCTTTCCTATGCCATAGTTTGTAAATGGAATTCGTTTGGCACTGTATTTGCACCAAAACTTTTATTGTCTATGAGATTCATTTTGCTGTGTGTTGCTTTGTCTATTTTAATCTTAATCTTTCTTGTTTTATTCGTCAAAATTTCAAGCGAATACAAATAGGCTTTCTCATATATCTTATCCCATTTGGCTGCCTTTCAAAATTTTTTTTCACTTTCCCTTCAACTTGTCAAGAGATTGTTGTGTCGAAATCTTTAGTTTCGGTCCATGACAACTTTGTACATCTACTGCTAAATGCACACATTATTTTCCTTAAGGTTTTATTTCAGACTTTTCCCAATTTTTTCTGTTTTCTAAAACCCCTTTCTGCTGCTCTTTAATTCCTTTCCTTCTTGTGCACGTATTTGAAAAATTTCTTAGGTCCTCGTAGAGGTGGTATTAATAATTTGAGTGGAATAATTTTGTTACCTTTGAATAGCTATTTTTATAATGGACTGTCTTTGACAAGTACACTGAATTGCTCCTATGTCAATGATGAGTCTTGGAAAATTCGTGGGTTCAAATACGTTTTCAATGGCAAATGCTCTCACTACTACCTGAAAGTGTGCCTATATTTCTATTCATTGGTAGAAGTCGATTCACTATTCACATTAACTCAGTACGTGATGTCCCATTTACATAAATGGGTTTTATTGACCCTTCTCTATTCTGCCTACCGTATAACTCCTCCTGGCATCGAATTATTGTCAGTGTTAGTTCCAGATTTTGCGCCAACAAATTCACTAATTAACTTTATGATACTTTCCCTTTCTGCCTTCTTTTACAGGACAGCTCAATCGGTGACTTAATCCACCTTTAATGTCAATGCCTCATTTTAACCGTCTTGGGGATTCTCTTAATTTACCTGATACTTTATTGAAATTTACCTTCTATTGATTTCTAATTACTTACCTATCTATTGGCATGAAGTGCCTTACACGGCACATCTCACTAGCAGCATATTCGTACAGCACTTATTCTTTCATAGCTTAACGTATTATATGTTCAGATTATGTACAAGTTGTTTCAGTTAAACGTAAAAAAAACTAAAATGTTTATTACGATGCCAAAAATTAAAACAGACAATTTCTATTAGATTATTCCATCGATTCGGTAATAGTGGAAATGTTATATTTTCGCCAAAATAATTTCCTCGTTCTAGAAATGTGCTCAATTTCTCTTAAGAAGGAGCTCTTCAACATTCAATTTGCAGCTTGAAATATCTGTTTTTGGGACCCATCGCTTTTCCTTCGAGTTTTTATAGGAGTCCAAGTTTTCACGGTGAAACCTTTTACAGAGTGTTTCCAGTTTTTTCCTTCTGCAGATAGCTGGCATTTTGCGAAAATGCTTTTCATGAGATGTTAAGAAATTCACTTTCTATCACTTAAGGGAGTAAAGCAAAGCATGAGGGTTTATTGAGATAATTCCTTCAGTCTGTTTTAATGTGATTAGATTGTCGAATTACTTCTTTCAAACATCTGACCTAGGGAGAACAATAAGTTACAACTTTCAACTTCCACAAACGCTTAATTTTTTGTTGAGGTAGACTAGAATGCAGCACAACTTTATCATGATTATGGATAATGACACTTTCCTTTTAAGTGTGTATATTGTCTTAGTATAGATGAATTTGATCTTTTGATGCCAATGTTTCGTAATCAAATTACCAATGTCTTAATGCGTTTAAGTACGTAGGTAATATTTTGAATTTCGGATTTAAGCTATTGTTAGTCAGATGTGAAGTAAATCGAACTGGTTTTTTTAACGAAGTCTTCCCTTATCCAATGACCTTCAATTTGCTCATCTAAGAGTTACTTTCTATTTCATTATCAGCAGTTATCCGATGGATAGGGAAATGAAATTTTTTTGTTGAAAATTAAAAATACTTCTGGAGCCTCTTTTCTTTTTGGCATATTGATGAGTCATGAGATATTTCTGTCTTCTAGATCCTTGTAAAGAATTTCTAAAATGCCGATTTGAATTTTTTATGTATCTCCATTGTCACATGTTTCAAGATTCAACGTTTGAAATTGAGCGGATTTAAAGAGTCCAAACCTTATCTTGATTGCTATTACTTTTTGTACACACTTATCATCTAGCATGCTCCAGGCTCTAGTTCATTTTTCGTTCTTGAATTCAAAGTATCCCTGTTGCCTACTTTCTTTTCTTCTGTGTGCCACTGTAACGACATGTTCATGACATTAACTTGAATTTTAGCTACAAAATTTGCTTTAGTCACTTAAAATAGATAACCACTTCATGAAACCCACTTCGAGGCTTGCATAAGACAATTGAGTTTTCTGGCTGAGAAATCGGTGACCCCTATCAGCCAATATATGTTATCATTCTAATCATTTTTTAATTGATTTTATTCCTGTTTGAAAATAAACTTTCGCACATTTGGTATGATTAGAGCTGTTTCCTAGTTTAACATGGTATTTATCACATTATGAAATCCTTTCTGTCTGAATTATAATCTCTTTTATTTGTTACTTTTAATTAGTTCGTTGGAATAAATATCCTTTACTTAATTTATATTTTTCCCCAAAGACAAAAAGAGAGTCCAGCGAGGAGGGATCGGCAGGAACTTGTCAAAGACATCGACTCAGCAAACCTCATGGTTCCTTACCAACAGGTTATCGTTCTGTTAATGGTCTCAAACGAAGATCATTTCGGCGACGAACTCTTAATTACTCTTCCTCTTCTTCCTCTGGATCCACTTCGCCTTCCATCAATCTTCCTGAAAATGTCGATAATAACCTCTCTAGTGATGAGTTCTGGCCTATAGCGGTTTCACAACCTCGAAATCGGGTGAGACTTATTGAACGTGTTTTTTGTCTTGGGCATAACTTAAAATTTTGCTATTGTCTATCGACGATCTTTCTGTCCTCTAAGTGTGTCTAGGATACAGTTGAGTCAAATCTTAAAGAACGTGAGAAATAGTGATAGTGATTTTTGGCGGAAAAATCTACTAGGTTTTCAGTAGCGGCGTGGAAATTGATAATCGCGAAGCAAATATAAACTCAGAATCATGGAGCTTTTTATCATCAGAGTCCTATCAGTTGACATCTTGAGCACCTCTTCGTGTTAGAAAAAAAAACAAATGCGAAGCCATGGAATCGGAAGCATTTCATCATTAGGATATGAACTCTTTTATAACTTCGATATCCCTTTACATTTTTCAATTAGACCACTTCGATAAGAATAAATTGGAATAAGGTAACATTAATGTTGGATTTGCAGAACTCTGGTTGCTTAAATAATCGGGCTGGGTTAAAGTAATTTATATTTATTAGTAGCACGTTTCGATGCCAGTATAAATTTATTCTTTTCCCCTAATTTTAGGTATGCCGACGTCGTAGAACAAAGTCTTTGAATCCACGAGCCCGTAGACGTAAGAGGCAATTGCTTACAATGTCCAACTCCTCAATTGATCCTCCTGCGGACTACGAGGATGATCAGGAAGAGGAAGCCAGAGCTGTGGATGCTTTGGCCATGCGAATACAGCCTATGCTTGATGAAGGTCGAACAGCTGAAGTGCAGGCGATTCTGTTGAAGGCTCTTACTTGTCCGGAGATGCGACAAAGAGCACTATGCCTCTTAGATTATCTCACTAGTGAAGGTGTTATCTTTACCGCGCAGAACCGTCAACATGTACGTTTCAGTGATTTACATACTATATGTTGTCTTTGTCGTTTTGGCTTCAAATAGGGTTTAGTGCTAGCTTGTCGACTCTGATGAAAACATCTTAGGTTACTTCGATTCATTTAATGTCTTGAAACATTTTAGTAGGACAACTGTATGTCCATAGCCTTTCTCATTTAATGAATCTTTCAATGTAATGCTACTTATCTATTCTATCCGAATGATCAGTTTTGGTTGCATTTATTGAAAATGCTTCTTTATTCTTTTGGCTGACAGAGGCAGGTATTGTTTATCTTGAAATCAGCACTACCGTCTGGTAAATATCTCCAGGTGAAATGATCTCTTTAAATTTCAAATTTTTAATCAAGAAATCCTCATTTTTGTACCTTCTACTTGGTTCGATGCCTATAGTCTAAATATTTTTACATCACCGTGTGTTTAATGCTTATTTGTAATTAAGACTTTTCTTGATCAAATGGACCTCCCCACCTACATTTAAGGATTTTCATTTAAGCACTTAATTTTTGTGGAATGGGTTTTCATTTTTTCAAATGCATATTTTAAAGACCCACTAAATGTGGTATTTAACACAATGCAGTTAAATGGAACTACTCATAGTGAATTAATAGTGGTTAATTGAATTGACTATTAAATTAGTTTTACCAGTGCACCGTTAGGCAAATGGATTGTAAAAGCATTTTCTTCTTTGAGATAAGTATATAGTGGTATTATATATTACTCAGGAAACCACGGTATTTTTTAGGGGATCTGACTAATTTCTACTATCATTCACAAGTCTCGTAAGGAGCCCATTTTTTCTTTGATCAATTGAAAGGAGGAATTTGTAGCTTGGAGTTTCCCAAAGATAGCTCTTCGATGTTTTACAGCGCTAATTTTCATTTCAGTGCTTTTGTAACACTTAAATTTGAAGTTAGTATCGCCGAAAATATTTGCTCTTCATTTTCAAGGACTGTCTTGCATTTGGAATAATAACCTCATGAGGGTGCACTTTCCACTTCCCTTATTTCCATTTCTTGTTTATATGGTCCTCTAGGGAATTGCGGGTAGGAGAGAGTCGTTAAATATTAAAATGTGGAGTGTTTTTTTGTACAATTTGCGCTATAATTATCCAATTAGGCTATTTGAAATATGTAGATTCTACTTATTGACTTATTAGTATGTTGGATAATGAAGCATTGCATTATGTTTGTATTGCTCATTTATCATATCTCTTTTTAAGTTGTATTTTTTTTAAATTTGTCTTATTCTTTTTTAGTGTTGTCAATGGTATGTGTTGTGTGTGTAAATGTTATTTTTTGTTGCCGTTTACTTGCTTGCTAATTTTCTAATTGCATGTCATTCCTCCCGCTTTTTTCTCCCATCTTTTAATCTTTTCTTTATTTAACTTGGTGCACGCGCACAGTTTCTCCCATTTAACTCATCTTCCTCGGGACGTTTTGCTGTGCCATCTCTCGCACTATTCCAGATCTCCAAGGCCGGGTTTCACTTTAATTGCTCTTTGCGCCGATCTTAGAGTTCAATTCTTCTATTAATGCGTATTAACCATGTTTGTAAAAATTAACTGCCACTGTCGATATGTTGGATTATTAGCTCTTTAACTTAGAGCAATCTTCACTGCAAAATTCACTAAGATGTTAAAATTTTTTTGCTGGGAGAAATGGGAGTTAGAAATGATGATTGGTTACTCAACTTCAAATTTGCACTTAACATGTGGGCATGTAATCTTATGCAGTATTAATATGTAATTGCCGCTTGAGTATTGAGTCATACTGCTTGATTTTATTCTATAACTTCAGTTTATTGTCACCGTATTTTGCATCAATATTATTTTATATTATCTGATTACTCATCATCATCATATCACCATGTGAACAACGCGTCCCAGTAAGATCACACCCTCAAAACCTCTTGCGGGGGCGTAATTCCCGGTCATTTTATTATTGCTCCCCGAAACAGTTTCCGGGCTGTTGCTACGCCTAACTGTGAATTGTCAAAATAGCTTCACATTTCTTGATTTCCTATAATAAACTACGAAACCGATTAAAAGTACACTTTTCAATCGATTTTCTTAGTTTGGGTTAGGCGTTTATAAAAGTATATACTTTAGGTCATCTACTCGGTCAGGTCATTCCGCTTAACTCTCATTGTACTTGATAACTAGATGAATTGTGGTGATGCGTCTGCTATGTCATAATTTTGCTAGCCTGGCTTGCGTTCGTACGTGCTTCAACTCAGCTCTTATTCTTACAACTTGCTGAATGGACATTGTCATAGAGGAATTATTTTGGGTACGTAGTTACTCTATTCCGCTCAATATTCTAGTCCCTTAATCTTATTAATAATTTTTGTTTTCCTTTAGCTTTGTTTCTTCCTTTTTATAAGCCCTGATTGTGCTGAGCATAGAGTACGTTTCATATGTGGCATAAAATATCTCCAAACATTTTTAGTTTATAGGAAGTTGTTTTGATGTTCGTTAGACCTCTTCTATTTTATCAGACTTGCTCTTATTTGCTAGCTCTATGTTAATCACACTTACTATGAGTGCCCATTCTTTACGGTACTGGTATATTTATTTTGCTTTACTTTGTTTTGTACGCCTATGACACATTGGTTAACAGTAGTTAAGGGTTTGGCGTCTGTTCAAGTAAATGGATGACTAGCTGTGCTGCTTTATTCTAGCCATTAAGATGAGTGTTGAAATAAGCATTTATCATTTCTCCACGCTATTCCACTCTCCTTCTTATTCAATCAAGTGTGCGCCAATGTGCTCGTTCGCTTAAAGGCCACACCTTCAGTGTCCATCGATGCAGGTCCACTGAGGGGAATATTTAACCGCAGTGGTTAAATTTAGCTAATATGTGAAGTGAGAAATTTGAACTTCACTCTAGGGACAAGGTGAAAATGAGGGGATTGGAAAGGCCTTCTTAAATGGAGTAAGGAAAATAATTTTCCTTCATTCCATAGCCGATCTAGTGTCGCTGTATTTACTAGCTGTAAATCTTATTTCTTCCAAAAATAAATTCATTGTACTCTTGAGTTAATTTAACTCATTCTTTTGAAATACTTGCTTTTAAGTCTATTTTGCTCCTGATAAATCTATATTTCGTTCCTGCTTTATTGAAGTTAAAATTTCGCTTTTTCTAAAGCTAGTTTACTTAGAGTTCAGTTCTTATCCTCACCACCATCCCTGCTCTTTGCATGTGCGCACATTTGTAGATTGTCGCCATATTGCGTGTTGACAATTGGAAATTCCATTTCAGGCCTCTTCCACATGGTGTCTCATTCCCCCTCGATAGTCACCATGAATTCTTGCGGGGTTCGCTGTTTTTAATCCATTCCACTTCTTTTAGGCCAGTCATATCCTTTTATGTTTGATGTTTGTTTTACAATTATTTCGACCCGATATTCACTTCAGTTATTGATGGATATTTAATCAACTAATTCTTCACTTATTACCGCCTTGAATGTTGTTTTAGCTACTTGCCAGAATTTTAATCATCGTTTTACTATTCCCTTAAAGAAGAGTAGATGACACGTTCTAAAGTAGTCTTCCCTAAAAGTCGGTGGAACTCCGTGCATGTACGTTGTGAATTGTTTTCCTTTTGTAATCATCCATATTCATTTCAAGTGAAGAAATCGTCTCAAGTGCTCAAATCTTGTAGAATGGAGGTACTGGTCAAAAGCACCTTACTTTGCTTGAGGTGTTTTTTATTTATTCGCTGCTCTTGTGGTAACATTGCACTGTTCTAATGCTAGAGCGTCTTGGTTCCACTTCAAGTACTATTAGAGCCCATAAGTGAAGTGGTGGTTCCCCAGCACATTTTATCACTTGCCTTTATGTGCCTTTGAATAATAAACTACGAAACCGATTAAAAGTACATCAATGTGTTAAAAGTACACTTTTCAATCGATTTTCTTAGTTTGGGTTAGGCGTTTATAAAAGTATATACTTTAGGTCATCTAATCGGCCGGGTCATTCTGTTTAACTCTCATTGTACTTGATAACTAGATGAATTGTGGTGATGCGTCTGCTATGTCATAATTTTGCTAGCCTGGCTTGCGTTCGTACGTGCTTCAACTCAGCTCTTATTCTTACAACTTGCTGAATGGACATTGTCATAGAGGAATTATTTTGGGTACGTAG